AGAATGCTGGCTGTTTATTCCTCGGGTTGTGATGCCTGAGGGGAGCTCCTGCATGTCTCGGTGGGAAACCCCTGGCGTTATGCTGCTGATGCTGCTGTTGCTGCTGATCCTGATGCTGCTGCAAAGTGTTCTGGGGAACGTTGGCAGGATTATCTGGAGAGGAAATAAGAAAGAATAGATGGCTGTCAATCATCTTCTACGTGAGGGTTTAAAACTTTCTCCAGCCCCCATGAAGTAAGCTTCATTTTTGCGCACAATTGTGTCTTTTTTCTTGGGGATTGGATTCAGTTCAGCGGCCTTGACCTGTCTTCAATGGCGTCTACCAGCCCGACCAGGAGCGGCGCTCAGCTAACTGAGCTAGCACCTAAGGCTATTCTACCAGGAGCATGTAACAAGGCTATTCCATTGTTTTGGAGATTGTTCACCTGATGTCTTATTTTGAAAATTAAAGAAGCTGGCTTTATTATCTGCCAAGAGAATTCACAATTGTTAATGTTTGTTAAAGGGGACCTATCATGCAAAATGCACTTTTTGATCTTTTATACATCAATATGTGTCCCCGGTTTGTCAGGGAACTCACGCAGCGTCAGAAAAATAAAACCCTCTCTCTTTTCCTCCGTACCCACATCTCTAAAAAAGGGGCTACAACGGAGCTGATTCAGATTTGACGTCATATCGGCAATGCAGACCCACAGCACTATCAGAAAGTTGCTATCAGAAACAATGCCCGACTGTTTTGGACGTAATATGGTCGGTGTTTACATTAGCATCGCTAACACTCAGAGCTAACCTGTACTGGAGAGCATGTGTGTGAAGAAGCAGGACATAAAAAGGAACTCACCCTGTGGTGTAAAGCTTTATACCCACAATCAGCACTTTTGAAACAGGAAGTGAAATGGAGGGATATGAGGCATGGCTAGAATGGGTGATCTCTGTTTGGTATTCTGAGCAAAACACTTCATAGACATGTTTTTATATATTTTTATATATCTGAGAACTGCTATTGTCTAAAAATAGCATGATAGGTGACCTTTAAAGTGCACCTATCATGCTATTTGTATACCACAAGGTGAGTTTTTTTTCACACACATGCTCTCCAGTACAGGTTAGCTCTGAGTGTTAGCGATGCTAATGTAAACACCGACCATATTACGTCCAAAACAGTTGGGCATTGTTTCTGATAGCAACTTTCTGATAGTGCCGTGGGTCGGCATTTCCGATATTAAGTCATATCGGACGCAAATCTGGATCAGCTCCGTTTTTAAAGATTTGGGTACGGAGGAAAAGAGAGAGTTTTATTTTCTGACGCTGCGTGAGTTCCCTGACACACCGGGGACACATATTTATGTATAAAAGACATCAGAAAGTGCATTTTGCATGATAGGTCCCCTTTAATATTACTTTTCTAGCAAATTAAAAAGTTCTAATACTGTTACTGTTGCTGTGTTCTGTGGTTCTATTTGTGTCTAGCATAATGGACTAAGCTATAAGGAAATGTTGTTTGCTATAAATTATCTTCTTATCTATTAATCTCTTGACTTCTTTCAGATGAAATCGGCATAAAAAGCATGCTAACATGTGAGTTACTGTGAGCAGATACCTGTTTGGTTATTGGTCCTCTTCTTCCTGGCATTTTTCCCTTTCCTCTTGGCTTCATGTTCCTTCTCATCATCGCTGTAATCTAAAGCCTGGCGATAGGACAGAGAAGAGCAGAAACTACAGATTCACTTTACTTTGTTAGGAGGATTTGAAACTTTTCAGCTTCATCAGATTGACTTGTTTCATGACTCCTGAAACACAGGATAGTCACAACTAGGGTTGCAAAATTCCGGGAATTTTCAAAGATGGAAACTTTCCATGGGAATAAACGGGAATTTATGGGAATAAACTGGGAATCTTCAAAATTGAAGGTTGGCTCTTCATAGGGAACTTAAATGTAGTTGGGGAAAGTATATTTTAGCATAATCTTGACTAAAACAAACAGATGCCATTCAAGAACACTTGAATATCCATGCCATAGCACACTGCTTACTGCATGGCCACAACCCCTCCACTCCTCCATCACATGCACAGATGAGTAATATTTAACTCAACATTCCTGTTTTCGTTCTTCAATTAAACAAATAATTGTTCAATAAAATAATTAAAAGTTGTTCTGTTCTACTTTAAAAAAAAAAAAAAAAAAGAGATCTGCTGAAATGTCATTTTTTTTTTATATTTCCAAAATTCCCCAGCTTAACTTCCCATGGAAACTTTCCGTAAATTTACCGGAAACTTTCTGCCTCTTTGCAACCCTAGTCACAACACTTAGCTAATAAACATGTTTCAGCATTTATATTTAGTCTAATTTGTGCAAATATAACACTTTTCTAAGGAAATTATACAGAAAAAGATGCTTGGGTAACTTAGAAATGGTGTCAAAATATAATCTTCACACAAGTCAACCTTCTGGTGATGTGCCAAATGAACAAGGATATATTTGTATTGTCCGTTATGTAGCGGGTCAGCCGACGCTCAATGCTAGTGTTTGAAGCCAACGTTGTCTCGGAACCGGTTTTCAGTATAGTTCAGATAAGATAGAGGCTAATTGTAGCTTTAGTTGATCAAACAGAGGTGTTTAAACACAGTCTTTGTGCTTACCTCTGCTGGTGGTTCTTGGTCGTTCTTCCAAGATGCATCAGATCCCTTGTAGCTGAAGCAAAAGTATTTTCATCACTTTAAGGTGTCAAAAGTGATGGATACTTAAAAAGAAACAAGGATGATACAATGATAATTATCAGGGCCCAGGAGTTCAAAACTTTTAATCCCTATCTGATCAGATCAGATTTGGATTTTGGGGAGTTCAAAACCAAAAAACAGGATTAGGATGACTTTGAGATCAGATCAGATCAGGAAATCCAATCAAAGCTTTAATCTGGATNCATACCAAATCATGGCATCACATCAGCCCAGTCCTCAAAGAGCTCCACTGGCTTCCTGTCTCCCATCGCATCAACTACAAAATTCTGGTCCTCACCTACAAAGCACTCCACCATGTGGCCCCCCCTTATCTCACAAACCTTCTCACTCCTTATCAACTCCCACGTTCCGTCAGATCCACCGCAGCCGGACCCCTATCCATTCCCACATCCACACTCTGCAGCTTTGGGGACAGAGCCTTCTCAGTGGCAGCTCCTAGGCTCTGGAATTCCCTCCCCCAAGATCTCTGTGACTCTGAGTCCCTCACAGTCTTTCAGTCCCGCCTCAAAACACATCTTTTCAACTCTGTCTACCCATAAGCCCCCCCACCTCTCAATAACTTCCTCTTGACTGCCTTTTTATTTTACTATACTTACTTGTGTGCCTGTCCTTGTTTGTCTACCCTCCCTCATATTGTAAAGCGTCTTTGAGTTGTGAAAAGCGCTATATAAATAAAATGCATTATTAGTATTATAATACTGAATACAGAACGATGTTTTACAACATTTTTAGCCTTTAACAATATTGAGCTTCCACAATTTGGAAAATGTACTAGACCATATTGCAATTTTGATAAAAGTTTGATTAATTGAGCAGCCCTAGTCTT